TTATTTGTCAAAAAATTTCTCCACCCTCTATGTCTTTTTCCGGCCAAGCCCATTATATACTTTTTGCGGGCATCTTCAATGTTAAAAGACCTCTACAAAAAAACATACGCATAGAGGGTGTTAGTATATGTAATTTAAAAACAATATTTTCGTCAAAATAAAGCAAATAACAACAACCATATATGATACCTTTATCTCGGTCCAAATTCTTTCTTTAGCATCCAACTCTCCTTTTTTCCAGCTAGTAGTGGTGATCGGAATTGCATACGAACAAGCGTACCGATGTAGCTTGTCAGCTTTGCAGAATTAGGCCCAATTAGTTGGTCATCATTATTCCAATCTACATTATACGTAATACCTCTATCTCTATCACGGATGATTCCCCGCATGATAGTTATGCCTCGTGTGATGTCTTTATCTGAAGTGTCTTGTGGAACATTATCTTGTGGAACATCTCCTTGAGGAACATTTTCTGAATTATCTTGTGGAACATCTCCTTGTGGAACATCGTGATACATTTTCTGTCAAAACGCAAAGTATACACGGAATGAATTAAATAGAATGTTATTCAATATTTCGGACAATGGATTAAATAGAATGAAAAGATGGATACTATTAAATTTATGATTAAATAGTTTCGAACTGATAAAGAATGAAAAAGAAATATACCTACATCAAAACATAAATAAAACAATCCTAAATATTTCAAAAAACTAAGATGTCAGATAACAAATTTTCAGTCAAAACGCAAAGTATACACGGAATGAATCCGTATCAAGAAAATGCAACATACGAAAGACAATTTAAGACAAATTCATCACAATATATACTAGTAATTTGAGGAAGAAAGTTACCTCTCAGATGTTTCAAACTCTAAGAAACACGGAGAATGAGCGTCGTACGTCGAACTAGGCCGGGAAACGCTGCAAATTCATAGAATGTTATTCAATATTTCAGACAATGGATTAAATGGAATGAAAAGATGGATACTATTAAATTTATGATTAAATAGTTACGAACTGATAAAGAATGAAAAAGAAATATACCTACATCAAAACATAAATAAAACAATCCTAAATATTTCAAAAAACTAAGATGTCAGATAACAAATTTTCAGTCAAAACGCAAAGTATACACGGAATGAATCCGTATCAAGAAAATGCAACATACGAAAGACAATTTAAGACAAATTCATCACAATATATACCAGTAATTTGAGGAAGAAAGTTACCTCTCAGATGTTTCGAACTCTAAGAAACGCGGAGAATGAGTGTCGTACGTCGAAACATAAATAAAATTCCATAAAGCAAAGATGTCAGATAACAAATATTTCATAAAATTCCATAAAGCAAAAAAATGTAATGACGTATATTTAAATTTTACTGGATGATATAGGCTATATATATTATACTATAATGAAAAAAATGAAATGATATAGGCAATATATATTATACTATAATGAAAAAAATGAAATGATATAGGCTATATATATTATACTATAATGAAAAAAATGAAATGATATAGGCTATATATATTATACTATAATGAAAAAAATGAAATGGCATATATATACATTTTATTGAATGACATTGTCTATAATTATATATACTATTACCTTTTTCACTAACATCTCTTTCTTTTCTTGGTAGGAATATGTTCTACTCGTCTCGTAACAACGCGGACGGTTGGATTGATCCAAATACCCTCATTATGATCATTTCTAATGCATGATTCATTATCATTTTGATCATTTCTGGTAAAAGATTCAATATCAACACCAGTATCACCTTGGTCTCCAATCTTTTCATCAATTACTTTGTTAGAGAAAAGCACTATAGACCATTTCGTACTTGTCGGATCAGCGACATAGAACACTTGTTTAGCTTGAGAGGCTAGAATGAAAGGCTCATCTTTGTACCCCGCCCTGTTAAGATCAACTTGCAAAAATCCTGACTTATCCATCCGTATACCATTATTATTTTCAACCCACTTGCAACCGAATATAGGAATCTGAAATTTCTCGTAATCAAAGACCCAAATGCGCTCGATAACCCCAAAATACGACAGATTTGCAAATTTCGGGTTTAAGTCCTTCACACTAGATATGTGCATTGCTTCAGCTACCAAGGTGACACCACTATTTTGCACAGTACTTTTATCATCTTGTTCTTTGGTATAAAATGTGTATCCATTAATTGCGTATGCGCTATAAGAAAACGCAACCAAACTTGGACCATATGCTAAACATCTCAACCTTTCTGTCACTGAGGCGGGATCTGAACGATACTTTGAATAAATATGTTCCTTAAACCATGGTATGAAACTTCGATTGTGCTCTCGTACAATCCAATTCTCATTTCTATTCGAATTTAAACCTCGAAGAACACCCTTGTGTATATCGACATACGGCTCAACCTCAATCTCATTGTGCAAAACATACAAATGCACTTGATCCCGTTCGACCCTTGATACTGTCACAACTTTATTTCCAATTAGCTTCTTACCTTCTTTTTTTTCAACAACATGAGATTTGGGGAGTCCAATTGACTGAACATTTGACAGATATTCAGTACAAAACTCAACCGCTTCTTCAACAATGTATCTTTCGGCAATACAACCCTCTGGTCGACTCCGATTTTTCACATACCCTTTTAATATTTTCATATAACGTTCAGCAGGGTACATCCATCTCATATAAGCTGGTCCGCACAATTGTGTCTCTTTCACAAGATGAACGACAAGATGGACCATTATGTCAAAAAACGAGGGAGGAAAATACATTTCAAGCTCACACAAAGTAACAACTATTTCTTTTTGCAATGTTGGCAAGATCTCAGGATCGATCACCTTACTGCAAATTGACTTGAAGAAAAAACACAATTTAGTTATTGCGCTTCTTACCTTTTCTGGCAGAATAGAACGTATACCTATCGGTAGAAAATGTTCCATTATAACATGGCAATCATGCGTCTTTAAACTCTTTAACTTGAGGTCTTTCATAGACACAAGTCTTCTAATATCTGATGAGTAGCCTTCTGGAACTTTAACTTCACTCAGAAACTTACACAATATTTTTTTCTCCTTTCTAGATAGAGTGTAAACAGCAGGTGGTAGGTATGTCTGTCTTCCTTTCTTCACGGGTCCCAGTTCAGTTCTTATTCCCATGTCTACCAAGTCCTCCCTTGATTTAAGGCCATCCTTAGACTTCCCTTTTATATTGAGTAACGTACCAATAACACTGTCAAATACATTTTTTTCAATATGCATCACATCAAGAAAATGTCTTACGTACAAAGATTTCCAATATGGCAATTCAAAAAAAATCGACCTCTTCTTCCACCCACCTGTGACAACTTTATGTGCAAAAGGCTTGCCAAACTGAATATTCACATCTTTCACCTTTTCAAAAAATTGTTCACCTGTCAAACCAGGCGGAGCTCTACGTTGTTCGGTATCTCCGTTGAACGCTTTTCTCCATCCACGATACTGATGTTTAGAAGTTAAGAATCTACGATGACCGAGAAAGACATTCTTCTGACAAAGTTTCAATCGCATGGTATCGGTTCCGTCTTCACAAACAGGACACGCTTTTTCACCTTTAATGCTATACCCGGATAGATTGCCGTATGCTGGAAAATCGTTAATTGTTCCAAACAACATCGCCCTCAAGTTGAAACTTTCTTTCCTATAACCATCATAGACCTCCACACCGTTCTCCCACAAAATCTTCAAATCTTCGATTAATGGTTCCAAGTATACGTCTATATCATTTCCTGGTTGTTTAGGCCCAGAAATTAACATAGACAGCATCATGTACTTACGCTTCATACATAGCCATGGAGGTAGGTTATAAATCATAAGAATCATAGGCCATGTGCTATGCGAGATAATTTGAATACCGTGTGGGTTCATTCCATCAGTAGGCAATGCCAAGCGAAGGTTTCTTGCTTCTTTTCCAAATTCAGGATAATCATTATCAATTTTCATCCACTGTGGAGAATCTGCCGGATGTCGAAATTTTCCATGAATAATTCTTTCATCTGAATGCCAAGTCAATTGTCTTGAATCGGTTTCACTATGATACATCCATCTAAATCTCGGGATTATAGGAAAATACCATAAGACTTTTGCCGGAGACAACTTTTTCTTATATCGAGGGGCACCGCATTTAGGACACTCATTTAACGATGCATACTCGTTTCGAAACAAAACGCAATCTTTTAGACACGCATGTATCTTATCATAGCTCATGCCAATGGAGTACAACATCTTTTTGGCCTCATACGTTCGATTGGGAAGAACATTATCCTCTGGTAGCATATCTTTCATAAGGGCTAATAACTCTGTGAAACTTTTATCCGACCATCCATTGCCGGCTTTTAAGTTGTACAACTTTAACACCGCAGACAATCTTGTGAATTTTGTACAACCATTATACAACGGTTTCTCTGCATCACTTACCAACCTCTCGAACATTTTGGGACAATCGTTAAGATCTTCTTCAAGCGCTTCTGCAATTTCTTCGACTCGATCATAATCGTATGTATCTGTGCAATCATCATTTGAAACATAGGTCCTTGCATACCCCGATTCAACATTCTCGTTACTTTTCTCACCATGCATATTCCAACATGTATAACTCCTATCAATTCCATACCGAATTAAATGCGATGCCAACTGAACTGCGTCAACCCGGTTCCCATAACAACAATACAAACAGGGACATGTCATACGACTGGGGTCTTTAGCGTGCGCAACAGCAAACTTAACAAACTCGGAAACACCATTCTCGTAGTCTTTCGGCAATCGATTGGAATACATCCATGTCTTATCCATATCAACTAATTAGTGCACAAAACAGTAGTATACTGCGTTTCTGTCAAAACGCAAAGTATACACGGAATGAATCCGTATCAAGAAAATGCAACATACGAAAGACAATTTAAGACAAATTCATCACAATATATACCAGTAATTTGAGGAAGAAAGTTACCTCTTAGATGTTTCGAACTCTAAGAAACGCGGAGAATGAGCGTCGTACGTCGAACTAGGCCGGGAAACGCTGCAATTTCATAGAATGTTACTCAATATTTCGGATCGATTGTCGAAAGATATATACTATTTTAACATAAAGGTTCACAATAAATGTCACATATATATTTTCAATGTTTGGGAAAGCTATGACAATAATACAACACAAATATTAGAAATAGTGAATTCACAAAGTCAACATAAGGTTGATGCGATGAACTGATACTATTAAATAAATGCTTCACACGATTCACCATATTTTTAGTAACAAGTTCATATATCACATTGCATATGGAAATAGGATGAAATGGTTTAAGATACTTAGACTAGAAATGGGGCAGCATTGTTATCATAACACAAGTTAATCGGAAGTTGCTAACGGAAACAAGTAAGCATTGTTATATTTGTAAGGTTTGATCATAATTATATATGTTACTTTACACAGAATTACAGCAAACCAAGGTTTCTATTTGCTTGGTTTAGAGAACACAACTCCAACTTTTGCATCAGCAATACAAAATTTTGTCCCTGCCATAACATTTCTCATGGCTGTCATATTAAGGTAACCTAGCCCTTAACTAAATACTGTTACTATGTAACACATTAAAACATTAGTTAATTCTGATAAAAATTACACATGCAAAATTTCATCCACAGGATAGAGCAAGTGAGATTGAATAGAAAAGATGGATTAGCTAAAGTTGCAGGAACAATATTCTGTGTAATTGGTGCAACAGTGATTACATTATACAAAGGTCCAACAATATATACTCCAAGTAATCACCTAAATAGTACTGCAACATTGATAACAGAAGTAACAACAACACCGATGGTTGATTTTGGAACATGGTTTTTGGGTGATGCCAAGGGGAAAAACTGGACACTTGGTTGTGTTTATCTTATTGGACATTGTTTGTCTTGGTCTGCTTGGCTTGTGTTTCAAGCGCCTATTCTTAAGAAGTATCCTGCTCGTCTTTCTGTCACTTCTTATACGTGTTTCTTTGGTCTCTTGCAATTTCTTGTTATTGCTTTGGTTTGTGAAAGAAATTCTCAAGCTTGGCTATTTCACTCGGGTGGTGAAGCTTTCACTATTCTATACGCCGTAAGTTATCACCTGCGCTATTAGGTTTAAATGCAGTTTTGATCGTCTAACTTTTGCATATGAAAATATATTACACTAGTCAGAATTTAAAAATGTATTAATTATTTGCAGGGAGTGGTGGCATCTGGAATTGCTTTTGCAGTACAAATATGGTGTATTGATAGAGGAGGTCCAGTGTTTGTTGCTGTTTATCAACCTGTTCAAACTTTTGTTGTTGCTATTATGGCTTCTATTGCTTTAGGAGAAGAGTTCTACTTGGGAGGGTTAGTCCTAATCCTAATTAAATACCTTAATATAAATGTTTATCATTAAATTATACATATTAGATACATAATTTATCATAAACACTCAAACTATACATGCACCATTTTTCATCTTATATATATTGAGCGAAATTATTTGAGATTTTCATATATAGTTTAGAGTTATTATGATGAGATGCAAGTGGCAGTGGCACACATAACTTGTTAAAATTTGAATTGGTTACAACAGTGTGCTAAGCATTAACTAAGCATGAAGTTTTTTTTTGTATAGGCAAAGGAATTCTATAACTATAATGAGTATAAGGGGTACTTCAACAAGAATTCACAAGAAATGCCTCTGCTATCCACACCACGACTCCACAAGAATTCACGTTGAATCCTAACCAATTCCTTCAACACAATTTTAGTAATCTTATAGAAAGATAAGAAATATATTGGAATAGAATTCAGGACAGAATTTACTAAAGTAACTCTGCCACCAATAGATAAAAAACGACCCTTCCAAACCGAGACTTCAACTCCAATTGTCCAGCTTCTGAACAACGGAAATTTAGTGATCAGAGATGAGAAAGACAGTTCAGCTGATGAAGATAGTTTCTTGTGGCAGAGCTTTGACTATCCTACTGATACATTATTACCAGAAATGAAGAATGGATGGGACAAGAAAACCGGTATTTTTAGAATATTTACTGCATGGAAAAACTGGGACGATCCATCTTCAGGTGACTTTACTGTATCCATGAGACTTACGAACAATCCTGAAACGGCTATTTGGAAGGGCTCGACTGAGTTCTATAGATCAGGGCCTCTGACTGGTGGTACGTCTAGTGGAGCTTATAAGATGAAGGTTAACCCACTTACTAATTTAGAGCTTGTAAACAATGAAGAGCAAGTGTATTATATGTACACCCTAAAGAACAAATATGTGATTTCCATAATTGTTTTATCATGCATAAGCCAATATGTGATTTCCAAATCTAATAATTAATTCTATGGTTAACTGGAACTAAACCTTGGCCGTGGAAGCAACATTTACTCATAATCAATGGTTAACAAGATGTAGGTTTTTGTTTAATATAAGATGAACAGATAATGGAAGAAGATAATGGAAGAAGAAGAAACTTACCAAGATGGAGAAGACGGAATGAACGGCGGCGACGACTGAAGAAGACGGAACGAACGGCGGCGGCGACGAAGACGGCAGAATGAAGAAGACGAAGAAATGAAGAAGACTGAACGAACGAATCTGAGGGCAAATATCAGATTTGGTGATTTTTAATTTAATTATAAAAACAACCTACGAAAGTGCTTTTAAAAGCGCTTTAGTATGCCCCCCATATGAGAGCGCTTCTGAGGTAAAAAGCGCTTTCGTATGCCCCCCATATAAGAGCGCTTTAGAAAGCACTTTCGTAGGTCCCCCTTTCAGAGCGCTTTTCAAAAGCGCTTTTATAGGGCCACCTATAAGAGCGCTTTTCAAAAGCGCTTTCGTAGGTTAGATATTTCAAATACCTATGAAAGCGCTTTCTGAAAAGCGCTTTCGTAGGAAACCCTATAAAAGCGCTTTTTTTAAGCGACTTTTTTTTAAAGGCTACGAAAGCGCTTTCTCTTAAAAGCGCTTTCGTAGATGCGCTGCCAAAAATTGTTTTTTTTTGTAGTGAGTGGTTTATTTTTCACTTTCCTCGGTATGATGCTTTCTGGGATGTCAAAAAGGAACCTCATTGGGATCAGAAGATTATGGCCCTCACTCATTCAGATATTTTTTGGTACCATCATCCTTACCATGATGTAGAGATTGTCGATAGTTGTGGTAGTTTCCCCAATGTACCTCTTCTTGGTACAAAGGGAATAATTAACTATAATCCTGTTCTTGCACGATGACAACTTGGATATCCAATAAGGGGTAAGCCAAATAATATTCATCTGAGTGGTTTCTTTCTTTAAAAGGGAGAGAATCATAAGGAAGCTAAGGAGCAGATTGTAAAGGCTTGACGTCATATTCACATGAAGAGTAGAAAGGACTTGGGACCTAGATGGGCTGTTTCTTTGGAGCCTTATCTTTAGTGAGTACAAGCAAGGGCAATTCAGTTGAAGATGCCATATTCCCGTGAAGCACCTATGTCTGATATGTTTGTGAAGACCACTCCTCCCCTTTTGGATGATGTGGAAGAGATTCAGCTGACCCTAGTCAGGATGCAGCATGAGAAAGAAGCTTGGAAGAATAAGTGTCAGACTTTAGAGATATCCTACCGGGTAGACTTGAAGGAGAAAGATGACTTGATTGAGATTCTCTAGAGTCGTGTTGTAGAGATGATAGAGAGGCAAGAGGATTTATTTTCCTCTAGAACTCAGTCAGGGTTTAGTCATTCACTTCCCAATTCTGGTGATTGGAAAGTGCTTGCTAACAGGTATGCAGAAGAGAACAAGCAGCTAAAGGCTCAGATCGCAAGACTCACAGGAAAGCGTCAGTGTGTGGAGTAATCTTCATCATCTTTGCTTTCTTAGGGTTTTATATTATATCTTCTTTTTGTACTTGGGATTGTTGAAACTTGTACTAAAAAAGATGTAATTCATTATGAAGTTATTATAACGAAATTTTTCAGTATTTCAAATGTGTTAGTACTTTAGTATTCGCAAATTGTTCATAAATCTTTGAGTTCCTTGAATTTATTAATAATAAAATAAATCATGTGCGTTGCATATCATGCATCATCCTGTACATATTTCTTGCATTTCTTTTCATACCCAGGTGTCTTACTGAATTTCTATGCTTCGTTCAGCAAGCTGTCTCATCGGTATAATACTCGAGCTAATTCCAAGAAGAAAATCGAGAATCTTGAACAGGAAAATCATGAGCTGCACGACGAGGTTACTGCTCTGAAGGTCGGTATGACCAATTTAACTGCTTTGATGGAATCATTGGTGGCTTCTCAGAATCAGCCTCCACTTGCTTAGCCTTAAAAAACAACATTGGATTCTGAAGGTCCATCAGTTCCCGTTTCTATTTCCCTAGCTATTGTTGCTCAGAATCGTATGCCTCTGGGTTATCCATGAGGAATGCCAGAAAAATTCATGCCAGGAGGTTTTAATCTTGACACTAAAGCTGCTCCAGTTGTTCAAGATGCTACTACTCTTGCACCTCCTGTGGTTCATATTACTCCTACTTCTAGAAATGAGACCCACTATACTACACCTCCTTCGGTGAATATTGTGCCATTTGTTAATGATGAAGTTTATCATCCTATTCCTCCGCCAAGTGAAATCTTAGGCTTCTATGACCGAATGGACGATTTCCAGGATCGGTTTGATAAGATGCAGAAAGAGATGAAGGCCCTCAGAGGAAAATAATTGTTTAGGCAGAATGTGAATGACCTAGGTTTGGTTCCAAATGTGAAAATACCTGTGTTGTACCCCAAAATTTTCCCTCTCTTTTCCACAAGAAATCACAGCTTCGGGCTTTTCCTAATTTTTCAGATTGGCTCAAGAATCGGTCAAACAGACTTTTCTTATCAGTCAAACAAAATTAGGGTTTCTATTCATTTTGAATCAGTCCAAGCAGGTTGTTAGGGTTTGGTTGAATTCGGCTCAGGGTTTGATCAGGCAGACATTTCTTTGACAATAAATCAAGAATTAGGGTTTGCACGCGCATTTTCAGAAGAATTTGAATCCACAGTGTATTAATTGGCTGTTACACTGCTTTGACGCCTGCTCAAGATTTCAGTTTGTTTCTCAATAAACCTGAACCTCTGGTTTAGAAGCCGAGGCTTCTGGTTGAAAATTTGCAGTGTTTGGTTGAATCAGTAAAAGAAAAGGCATATGGATGTTTGTTTGATTGACTGTGCAATGCTTATGGCTAATTGGAACGCCGTGTTTATTATTGATTAATGCGAAGTTGCAAGACTACGGTGTTTATTAATTATTTATTCTAAGTTAGAATAGTTGGGATTTACTTCCAGTTATTTTAATTCAAGAAACTTAAATAATTAAATAGACAGTGAATTAAAAGAGAATTAACTCACAAAGGATTATTTTTATTCATTTTTAATTGTTTGTTACAATTATTATTTGAACACTGTAAATTTATTTACAATTGTTTACATTAATATTGTTACAGTGATTAAAGGTAATTTAAAACTATATCCTAAATCTCCTAAATCTTCATCTTCTACTGCTGCTCCCCATTGCTCAACTGATTTTTATCTACAAAGACAAAAAAGAAAGAAGTCAAACACAGATGAATTAAAAAAAAGGCAGACAAATAATTAAAACTCATAATTAAAAGTGGTGGCCGGAATCAGTTTGTTCGCCCTCTCTGCAAATCACAAGAAGACTCTTGGTTCACAAAGAGGGAAATAAAATTATCTTGCAAGCATATGAATTAAATACAAGGCAGCATGTTAAACAAAATGCCCAAGAATGCACAAATTCAAACAAGACTGTCACTAAAACAAACAAGTTACAAGCAAACTGCACATGGCAAACTAAGTTACCAAGAGATGTCAACCAAGCTGCCAAAAGATATTAAAGCTGTCAAAACTGTCAACAAGTACACAAAAGATATGCAGGAAATCTGGAAATATGCAGAGCAAAGCTAACAATGCAAGCAATGTTTCAAGATTATCATCATTTTCCAGGCCATCACTTTTTCAGAAAAGTACAGTTTTAAGCAATATAATATGCTTTTTATCTATGGAGAGAGAAAGAGAGAAAAAAGGAAGAGGCTTACAGTTTTTTCAAGCAGGCTAGAGATATAAAACAAAGATATACCAGAACAGTTAAGAGAGGGCAGAATACACAAGAGATAGCACAAAACTGTAACATTGCAAAAACCTGCATAAAATAAAACTCCAGAATATCTCAAGCCTGCCTCAAGCTTGTATCTTATAGAAGCAAAACCTTTCAAACCTGATTGCCTCAAAACTGATACCATATAAAGCCTTTCAAAGCCTAAAATCAATAACACTCAAAACTGCTCAAACCTGTTACAGCATGAAAGCCTGAAGCCAGTAAACCTGTTTCAAACAACAAGCTCAAAAAACACAGTAAACCTGTGTTCAAAGCTCAAACCTGCATGAACCTCAAACAAAATTCCAAACTGTCTCAAGCCCACAAGCCTTTCAAAACTGTAACTTCAAAAAAAACAAGTTCTCAAACCTGTTTCAAGCCATACAAACTGAAGCAAGCCTTTCAAAACCTATGTCAAGCAAACAAACAGCTTTCAAACCAGAAATCCCAACAAACCTGTCAAACTATTAGTTTCAAAGAAGCCTAAACCTTAAGCCTGTCAAAACCAGAAACCCCAACAAACTGTACAGCATCAACACATCCAAATACCCAAACCAACATCAAAATCAAAACACCAACAAAAACCCTCAGAATATGTTCATCATAGGGTTAGTATATCCAACTCAGAATCAAAGCCAAAAGAGAGAGGAAAAGCAAATTTCAGAGTTATCATCATCAAACTCAGAAGCAACAAACCAATCCAAACTCTCAGAACTAAGTTCATCATCGAGTAATAAAGCCAAAGAGAGGAAAAGCAACTGAAGCATAACAATAGGCAACTCAGAAGCAAATCATACAAGCATCTTTAGAAGCAAGCATCTTCATCAAAATAAGGCAACTCAGAACCAACATAAGCAAGCAAACTCAATCAAAATCATCACAGATAAGCAAACATAAGAAGCAAGATACAAAGTACCAGACAAGCTAGCAAACTCTCAGCACCACGCACTCCCTCGCCTTGGCCGCATGAAGACACCTCCTATCCACTTCTCCTCCTCCGTCTCCAAAAGCCAACAAAGGTATAAATTCTCTTTCCCTTTTCTTTAAACACCTCACACAACATAAATAACATAGACAACACAGAAAATCAATAACATGTCAAGAGTAAAACGTGCAAGATAAGAACAAAAAACTTAAAAAGATGAATCGTACCCTTCTTTCTTTCCGTCACTGCCTTGCCCAACCATGAGGAGGAGGAAGCGGAGATGGCGTCCGGTAGCCAGGCATGGAAGGAGAGTATCAATGGCCTTGGCTTGAGAAAGTGAAGAGGCGAAGAACGTTGAGGAAGATGAGAAGTGGCGCCGTTCGTTCTAAGGCACAAACCCTTATTCTGAGTTACAACAAATGAAACCCTAAAAAACTTGTCACGCGTTCTGGGCCTGCCCTTTGCACTAACTGCCAAGCCCATTTCATTTCTAGCACCTTAC